GAAAAATTCTGTAGACTAAAGGGAAATGCACACATATGTGTAAAATATAAAATTGCTCATTCTGACTCTTCATGTATAATTAATGTCAGTAAACATTTTTATAAACAACTGACATCATTCAATAGTGTTCTGACAATTTATATGATGTTATATTTTAATGATTGTACCTCAGAAAAATTTGGTGGACTAAAGGGAAATGCACACATATGTGTAAAATATAAAATTGCTCATTCTGGCTCTTCATGTATAATCAATGTTAGCAAACATTTCTATAAACAACTGACATCATTCAATAGTGTTCTGACAATTTATATGATGTTATATTTTAATGATTGTAACTGAGAAAAATTCTGTAGGCTAAAGGGAAATGCACACATATGTGTAAAATATAAAATTGCTCATTCTGGCTCTTTATGTATAATGAACCTCCACAAACATTTCAATAAACAACTGACATCATTCAATAGTGTTCTGACAATTTATATGATGTTATATTTTAATGATTGTACCTCAGAAAAATTTGGTGGACTAAAAGGAAACGCACATAAATGAATAAAATATAAGACTGCTTCAGCTCTTTGTGTATAATTAACACGAGGCAGAGAAAGAACAAACGAAGAGAAAAAAGGTGGTACAGAGCGAAGGAGTCTGATATACTCATTTGAACAACGAAACCTTCCCAGCACAGCAGTTTCAAAGTGCTTAATTTGGTCGCACGTTAGCTTGTGTTTGAAACGCTTAATTAGCGTCGTTTAATTACTATATGCCGCGATGAAAAAAAAGAAAATGTTTTGAAGAGAATTATGCAGGCGAACTGAGTCAGCCAGGACGTTCCACTTTCTATATGCTGCATGACAACGAGATAGCGATCTCGAGGCACGTCAAAAATAATCTTATCAATTGTTCAAATATCTACCTTTCTTCGTTATAAAATGTCAGAACTTTTTTGAATGTCAATATTGGTGCTGCGAATATTTATGAAAAAAGCGTGTAAAAATTGATCCTTCAGTTATGCTCCGAGGGAAAATATTTTTAATATAAATGTAAACGAAATAACAGTATCGTGGCAGTATTTAATTACCATTAAAAAGTTTCCGGCCTGCCTTTGATAACCGTTCGTGTACACAGCGGAAAGTTTAATATCGTTTTTTTGCAAATTAAATGAAATCCTCTCTGTTAAATCGAAACACGTTGAAAATTTAATTGTAAATAATGAGTAAAACAAATACGTGTATTTGTAAAATCGTGCGCCGCGCCGTTTAATATCCGAGTTGCATTCAACGTGTGCCATCAATCCCCTCGAATTTCGGAACTTTACAATTCCCTAGCACGAAATATCAAGATTAAATTTATTCACGTGTTTCGCGTCGATATTGCAAAATGTTGAATTTTAATCGGTGAGCGACAGCCGGGCCAATTGTGTCCCAAATCTACGTGATGTAACATTTAAACTGACTATACACTCGAAAAATAATATATGGCATCGAATGGAATCTAAAATTAAATTTCAACCGTTACGGTCCTCTAAGGGTGAGGTTAGGTAACGCGGTAAATTGTTTTATTATCGAACCGATGGGATCTGTAAATGTCATCGCTAAAGGGTATAACACAGGCATCGATGAGCAGCCTCAATTAGAATATTTCTGAATTTCTAAAGGGTAGATAATGTGGTCAAAAGTGCCCTTACAACGGTTTTATATTATAATACGCTGACAGTTAATTCTTCATTGTCAACTTCTTCAAATACCTCTATTTAAAATTATAAGAATAAATGATTTAATTCTAGTATATTATATTTTATTTATTTAATAATTAATACAACACAACAGCAAATGGCAGGAAGATAATTTATGGAGAAAAATTTTCCTTTGAATTTAGAATTTTCTAACATACTCTGTCTATAATGTTAAATTTTAGCATGTCACTAAATGGGGAAAATAGGGTGAAACTCGATAATCCGGCTTTCGCTTGTAACTCTCATATGCAGGAAACTTGGTATGCGACATTTTTTGGCGAGTCGAATATACAAGAAATTCAGGGGTACTTTCAGCCACTTTATCCTTTGAAAAGTTTTCCGCCTTCTTATTATTAAATATTCCGTATACGTCTGTGCCCGCAAGCTTTTCGGCGAGCACTTGATCTGCCCATCAGTGTGTTATACCGTAGTACCGCAAAGGAAACGTTTGGTCGTAACTGCATAATGAGGATCGCAATAGGTACCGAGTACACGTGTCCTTGCAGGTCGAGTAACGTGTCATCTTCAACTGGTCAATTGGCTCGTCAACCGTCGAGAACTTTACCGGCGAACCTTTCGCTCGTTTTATTAATCACCGTCGAAGTATGCTGCATTTACCTATTTAACGTTCTTTGTGGGGAAAAGAACCGGCTTCTCTTCATGAATAATTTATTCCCTCTTAATGAAGGCTGCTCGCGACCATTTATACTGGCACAGATCGAACGGTGCTCCTTCTTTTCTTTTCGATCTTTCGCGCGAAACGAAATCTATCATTGTCAAAATTCGACGCGTTCCATGTTACCGAAAACCTTGAGCTGATACCGGTGTAAGAGAAGCAGGTGTGTCCCGCATTCCTTTAACCCCGAATGGCGGGACACCGGAATTTTCAAACTTTTACACTATGGAATTTTGTTGATTTGACATTCAAGGAACTTTTGGTTTAACTATTTTCGAAAATATCACTGTTCACAGAATATTATCAACCTTAATACAATACAAAATCAGTTATAAGTTGTCTGAGGTAATCAACGCTTCAGAAGTCAAACGAAATACCAACGTAGAACCGGTGAAATAAGACCGCATACCCGTTTCATGATCAAGCCAACAAGAACGAGATGGAATCCGTGCGTCGCGGTGGCGGTACGGTTATGCATTGAATCGGAAATGCGTAACATACACATATGTACATACGCAGAACGCGTGAGAATGATTTATCTTTGCAAACATCGGTTAACAGTGTATCCTCACGGTAAAAGACGTGTACTGTGTACGCGCCAGAGAACAAATAACACGTATATACCACCTATCCACGTAGCACCGTTAACTTGCACACCACATGGTCGAGAATTGTCGCGTGACACGAGCCTAAAAAGACATTACCCAGTTTAATCCTCTCTGGTCGAGAACACACTCTTTCGCCAATCTCTGGTTCAGTCGAAACTGCTCCCTCTGTAGCACAATTTTTACGTGTCCAGATTCTATGCACTATAAAAAGTCTGTTATTACACGCACAACGGTAACCGGCATGGAATTCGTCGCGGTATGTAACAGTTCAACGAGCTTCGGTGCGTCACAATTTCACAATGATCATGGGTTGGGTGAAATATGTTTCATGGTCGTCGTGCGGTGAAATTTCGCGCGATCAAAACGTCCATGAAGCTCGATTCCTCGAACAGGACGAAAGGAAAGCAGGACACAAGAGTGCACGAACACGTACACCGGCGAGCATGGTAGGCTTTCCTAGGGAAAATGGCGACGTAGGGGAAAGAGGCCCCACCACTCGTTGATTTTTTACGTGGTAGAGTTCAAATTTACAAACTTTCAAATTTAGAATTATACGGATTTTGGGACTTGGAAATTTAGAACTCTACGGGTTTGATAATTTGTGAATTTGAGAGTTTGGAAAGTGGACGGATTTACGAGTTTGGAATTCATACAATTGGAGATTTGAAAACTTAAGGAGATTGCGGAATTTGGGGGTGCGAGACTTCGGAGAACTATACATTTAGGAGTCTATAAATTTCTTTCGGAAATTTGGAACTTTACAAGTTTAAAAATTTGAAAATTCAGAAATTCACACATTTTCAAGTTTACACGTTCGATCCCCAAGATACCCCTACAACCGTCTTTGTCCAAAGAAAACAAATATTGCACGCAAGTGTACACGACAACGGATCCAACTATCAAGAGACGCCAGACAGGAGCAAACGATCGGTCAACTCAGATACACTTTGTCCAATGTGGAATTCACCGTCACACGCGGACCTCTCCCGTTACCGCACGCACCCTATGTTTCCGCGAACTATGCTGGTCTAGCACAAATTTCATTGATACACACCTCTTATGACCTAGAAACGAGAACACCTCCAGGTGCACATCCCGTACGTCGCACATACGTGTACATCCGACACTGCAGAGCCACTGAGCACCGCCGAGGTTAGGGTAACGAAGTGGGGACACCTGTTCGACATCCGTAGGTAGCACTTTCTACGCTCTGACGGTGGGTGCGTGGCTGATATCGATACTGGCCACGATCGCTGATGTACGCACAATCGAAAGCCCCGTCGACCGACGTCGAGATTTATCGGACGCAAAGGGACAGTCCTGCACTCCATTCACGGTCGACTCGCTTTCATTGATTCCGCAATGGCGACTGACACACCGCTCGTGGTCGGATCTTGAATTATTTTCGTCATCTGACTCCGGTGATAATTACACTTCGTGTAATCATCGACGTGCAATAATATGGATTACCTGTACACCGACCAGGTAGTTGAAGCGAGCGGGTTCTTGTCTGTACTGAAGTTGGTTCTTGTCTGTGCTAAGCACTGTTTTTGTATCGCGGTAATATAATCGCAGAATGACGATACGTATGTCTATTTTATATTACGTCAATAATTTTATATTACGTATCACTTATTTGATGTTTACGAGATTCGAGTATGAAAAAGTAGTATTTCCCCATCGAATCGAGTCTTTTTTATCCGTTAACTTGAATGAATGTTATGTTCTATTTTATGTATGTCATGATATGCATGAAGAAATTATGAATAATTATCTTTGTGGCTTTATGTAAAAATTAAAGTAATCGCCCGCGTTCAAAAGCGGAAACGTGGAATCGAAACTTGAGATAATTACACGATCGCTGATAGGCGGCGCTGTTTTCGTAAGCATCCTCTGATTGGTCGAAATAATCGCGCCCATGTCAGCTGTGTAGCAGAGTGTCACCAGTTGTCCGTCGTAGACGCGGATTCGTGCAAATGGCGTCAGTGGCAGTATGAGCGAGCGTATGCTGTGTAATAACGCGTACGGGCCTCGTCCGGGCGCGGCGCCGCGCGGCCCAGCCTGACGGCGAGCGTGAGTGCGACGATATTGGTCGAGATCGAAGAAAAATAATAATTAACAGAAGGGGATCATTAATTTTATCGTCGAATCGCAACGGTGTGTACGTATCAACGACGAGTGGTGACACGCAGTGAGAGAGGTGAGTGCCAAATCGAAAAAAAAAGAATAAAATCGACCAGAAGACCTGTGATCTTTTACGAGAAGTGCCGTGTTATGCATTCGTGATGATAGTTATTTACGAAACGAACAAGTAGTAGTAGTAGTAGTAGTAGTAGTTGTAGTACGTGCTATGAATGCATTCTCGATCGTCCACGAATTTCTTTGGAAACTAACCACGAATCTATGTACAACTCTGCAGCCTTTCGCTTGCACCGTTTACTGCAGAGAGTTTTTATGAATTCTTACGGGGAATAACAAGCGCGCGATAAGATCTATGCAGCAGTAAGATGAACGCAGCTTATTGGAAACAATTTCTTAGGCAAGTTTAAAGCGTAATAAGCGAATAGAATAAAAAGGAAACGATAAAACGTACGCGTAGTAATTTCTTCGCTGGATTTAGACAATGCTTAGTCGTGACAGGTGCCCATGCGTGCATTACTGCCAAATCTGTCGTGACGCTCCGAAACGCTATATCGCGTTCGATAGATATTTTCGCGGGGAAATATCCATGCTGGTAAATTTTTACCGTTTCTGAATATACACGATACTGATTAGTTATTTCATCATTGAGCGCGGTGTATCTACGGTCGATGGTAGATTTTTATTTATCATTTACAAAGATTAGAAATATTCTTATCGCGTTTCATGGAAATTTTTGTAATACTGTTATTCTGACAGACTATTTGAATATGTCGTTGTTATCGCGTAATCAAGACGCGGCCATGTTTTGTCCCAGCTAAAAAACACGTTTTCTCGTAGCCACGCGCACGTGTGGGCTAAGCAGAACATTTTTGTTTGTGCTGCGACGAGTTCCTAAATACGACACTTCGATTGCATAAGAGATCGAGGTGTGCACGTCTAAATGTGTTTTAACTTCTGTAAATGTTAAATCCGTCTTTGTTTTGAAAACACGATCCGAGACTGTCAGATGTTAGAAAATCGAAAACAATGTTCTTCTCTCGAGACGTAATTGTAAATTCGAAATGGAAACAGTTTTGAGAAATAAAAAGGCCGATAATCTAACAATGGAGGGATACGCGCGATATTTTACGATTACGTCACAAACACGTCACCTCTTATCTTCGCATAGGTTCGCATAATTTCTTGCGCGTCTAATTTATCGATCGGGATCGATTATCGATCGAGTCCATAATCGTAAAACACGTTCCTACTGTATGAGAATATAATCAATCATATTAATAAATGTAACGTAACGTTTTCTTTAAAAATATAATGGGTTCTGTAAAATCACAAAGAAAGGATAAAGTCGTTGGTGAACGAATGGATAAGGCAGTTAACCTCACCGATACGAAGTGACTCCGGGGCGAAAGGGCATTAACACTTTTGAGATAACAATGTCGTGAATATTAAGTTCGTTTATTAAATAGAATTGTTTCAGAGAAAATTCATGTCGATAAAAATGCTTGTGTAACATTGAAACATGATTTATTTGCTTGTTTTTAAATTACATTTTTGGATCCTGTTTTATACACGTGTGAATCAAACTTTTTTCAAGGCCGTTTCTCCGCTAGTAAACTCTAGCACGTTCGTAAAGAAATATTGTCAGCTGTTGGTGCTTGACAATTGGAAGAAAAAATCTTGTATCCCAGAAACCGGTTATAACGGATTAACCCAGAATTTATAATAGTAATTGTCGAGTGTTCGATAACCATTAAAATGGACTACGATTTCCGTTACTCGTTTTCTTAACACGTATCCCTGTGTAGGCCCAACATAGCGTTAGAACTATCTAGAATAAAGCAGACAATTCTATTCGAATCTACGATTGATACGAGTCGGTAATTAAATCTTGTAGTACACTTGTTAATTAATTCTATCGATTACTAAGACTGGGAAACTTTCTAACATTCATTTAGTGTCGGATGCGAAAAGAACTAATACGAACAATGGAAAATCGAATAGTGAACATTTAGAAAAGCAAGGAAGCTGTTTAACTTTCTCGCGTTAACGAGGAAAACCGATAATCAATTCACGTACAAAAAATCGATCGCAAAATACGTAACGAGTTTAATTTTAGACGACGCGTGTCCGTTCGGAGAAGTCATTGACCACTGAGGATTCTGGCGCGCGACAGCATTTTCATGGAAACGAACAGAGCAAAATAACGATTTTAACGAACGCTGCGGACGTTCAACCGGGTGCATACATTGTTTACATGTTCTTAATTCGTCGCTGTACAAAATACACCGGAAGTATCTTCTCGTTGCACTACTTTGATGGAATTTTGCCACTTTGGCAGAATGAAAAACAATTGATCCAACGAAGCGGCAGACGGGGACTGGCGGCAAAAATTGAACAGAAACAAAGTTCATATTAATGAACGACGTGATGCATTGAACAGAGAACGGTAACCTTATCAGCTGTTCAATAAAGGCGTTTGTTTTGTCTGACGGGAAGAGATCGGAATCGAATCGAAATCGATAGACTTTGTAACCAGCGATTTTGCGAAATTAGGTCGGCTAATATTACAGAATTCCATGCAAGTGTGCTCGTTTCCAACACTTGCGCCACGCGTTTAGATTTTACTACTGTATTACATTGCTGTACGGTATCGTAATATTGTAATATGGTAATCTTGCAGAACATGCTGATACTATGGCGTAGTGATGTAGTGTAATATAACTCAATTTTGGAGTAGCAGTATAATAGCAATATAGTAACATGGTAGTATAGTAGCATACTATCTGTACATATAGTAGTACATGTAATAGTTTTTGTTACTGTATGTACTAACTGTACTGCTAACATACTGTTAACTATATATACAGTAGTTTTTCGTGAAACTAGTATATGATAGTGGTATAGTTTTGTGAGGTAGTAGTATAGTAGAATGGTACAGTAGCATAGTAGGTATAGTAGGATGGTACAGTAGCACAGCAGGTATAGTAGGATGGTACAATAGCATAGTAGGTATAGTAGGATGGTATAGTAGAATAGTAGGTGTACCAGGAGGTATAGTTGCTCTATGAATTTATAGTATAGTATAATATAATAGTAGCAGGTATAACTGGATGGTATAGTAGCATAGTAGGTATACCAGGATGGTATAGTTGCTCTATGAATTTATAGTATAGTATAATATAGTAATATAGTAGGTATAGTTTGATGGTACAGTAACATAGTATATAGCAGGATGATATAGTTGTTCTATGAACTTATAGTATAGTATAATATAATAATACAGTAGGTATAGTTTGATGGTACAGTAGCATAGTATATAGCAGGATGATATAGTTGCTCTATGAATTTATAATATAATCTAATATAATAGTAGATATATAGTAGTGAAATGATATAGTGGTATATGATAGAGTAATATAAGAGAATAGTATAATAATAAATGAGACGTAATGGTGTAATAAATGGTACAGTAGTGTTTCGAGATAGTGACATAGTAGAGTGGAGGAAGATTTTGAGGCACATTATACAACGATAAGTTAGTTTAGGCGGACGATCAAGAGTGCCTGGGCAAGAACGTGATCGAGTGGTGTGCGAATACGTTCCGATGCGACTGTGCTCCGCAGAGTGCCGGCCAAAAGAGGGATGCAGGCCGAACTGATGTACAGAAAACCGTTGACAATGACGTCGCCGGGTCAGACTTTTCACCATCCTGGCAGCGGGAAAAGAGAGACCGGGAGAGACTCGAGGGAGACGATACACTCGGGACACTTCATGGTCTCCGATTTCGAGGCGGAGGCCCAGGACGACGAGGATGAACTCGCTGTCCCGGTGCCGGACGAAGAAGCTGCCAAGATGGCGATCATCGCGCCCATCGGTCTGTTCGCCGAGAAGTTCGCCAATTCCTTGAACGAGAAGAGTTCTCAGCAGCTCAGCATCGAGACGTCCTTGAACAAGCTGTTCCAGTGCATGTCTCTCGCTTACAGGTGAGTTTCTCTTTTCCCTCGGTTTCTTTTCTGCATTCTCATTTTTCAATGTCGTCTACCCTCTGCTATTGCCTCTTTAAGTGGTTGAACCTCTCTAAAATTTTTACCTCGAGTGGCGAGTCCTCTATTTCTTCCCGATAATGGCGCGTGTCGTTATCAACCCTATCGAATCAAATTTTTATGTCCTTTACTTTATCGTTGCGAGACTATTTTTAATTAAATCGATGAGGTTTCTTCCCGAGTCGTCATCGTCCCCACTTCTCGACAATGCACGAAGCGTGCCTCGACGTTATCTGCGACGATTTTCGCGTCACGTTTTAATTGAACCTACGGTATTCGGGTGATTTCGATTTAACGCGTTTACCGTCGTTACTATAATTCTATCCGTTCGCTCGAGACGAGCGTGCATAGACGTTGACAAGGAAGATCTACGATGAAAAAGCGACCTATAAACCTCGACCAGAAACGAACTTTATCCCGTGATGTCAGTAGGCAGAAATGGCAGACACGATATATTGCGTGCGGTTCAAACGCGATGGACATGTTCCCGTGATTAAAACGTTGATAAGTTTTGCAACAATACGGGAACACTCGTAATCGGCTCCTTGTGGAGATTAGTAGAGCAACGTAGACTCTGGACGTATTTCGAGAGGACGAACGATATACCGTGTCGGCATTCCGGATGATAACGGACAATTGAATTAATGAAGAAGAGGCCGTAGAACCAAACGACAACATCGCAATTAAGCTCGTCCTCGATGAAGCTCAGACTGGCGGCTGCGTTCGCCGCGACAATTTCCGTTTTCCACTTGGAAAGTTTTTCGAGCGCTTGAAGGACTTCCTCCACCGTTTCTTGCCTCCGATTGATCGGAAGCCCGAAGAAAGAAGAGCGTTATTCGTCACGAATTTCGATAATTACGATGACTCAAATATTTTTCCCTTGTAAAATCAAACACGTTCCCACTATAAAAAAGAGGAAACATATATCCGTTTGTTTACTCTCAAATCGCGATGGAATTTCGTTCCTATACGATGACTATAGACGAATTGAGAGATCTTGTAAGCGCGTTATCACGTTATGTTGGTTATCAGATTTCGTACGAAATATTTCGCAACATTTGGATGATCGAAAAGCACCTTTGCTCTCGAACGAAACAGACACGTGCAAAAAATTCCAAGGCTATTTAAACAATTGTTCGTTTAATATTTTTTTCTGCTCTCGTGTACCGGTAGTTAAAATTTCGCATCGATTCACGAGACGTGTTAGAAACATAAATGAAGCCTGTACAATTAACGTAAGTCTAAATTACTTGTACCACGAAGAGAGATATTGTCATTAATTGCATCGAATTGTTTCATTGTCTCCCGCAACTTTTTATTTTCTGTTTGTTTGCACTCGTTGTCTCGTTAAATATAGTTGGACTTTGAAATATTTGTTTATTTTCCCGGAGAAAAGGCTCACTTCCGCAATTTTTTTCTCGTTCAGTGGATATTTATATTTATCTCGTTTTGCATAGTGTAAACTGTTATGTCACTATTACAAAATTCATGAAGCTAAATATTATAATAACTCTTTATTATACGAAAGAAATTGATTAGATATCCGGAAATGGTCATAAAAAGAGTGTAGAATAAATTATGAACAGCAACCTTGTACGAAATAGGAGAAAGAACAAATAGCTGCGTATGCATCGTAAACGCATTATTTTATTCGACCGGTCAATCATTATTTTATCCGACCGTAAGATTGGATAATAAATGAACAGATATCGTAATTCCACCGATAGCGTTGCGGCTATTATTGTTCCGCCTTCGCGACGAAAGGGTTAATCAATTGATGATGATTTATGTCTGTACTGCAATTGGACGCGCAAAGTGAAAAGGCGTGTATATATATTTTTATCTGGCAAAGAGGAACGATATTATTGTCATTAATGACGCAACGTAGAGGCCCGAACATAACACGATCGTAAATTTTGTTTACGTTTGAAAAACAAACTGCTAAAAACATCTTTTTCGTTGATTTCCTAGGACTTTCAGATTTCTGTGTTTTCAAATTTAGAAATGGAGGAATTCGCCAGGGTAGACATTTTTATATCGAAAAATTTATATTTAGTAATTTAAAGGTCACTATATCAGAGTTTTAAGAATAAAGTACAGGAGAGCCATATAGCGAGACCACCGTGTTCATGGTGGTTAGATAACTTCGTTCGTTTATTAGTAATCGAAAAATTTAGTAATTAAAGGTTACTATATCAGTAGAGATTTAAGAGTAAAGTACAAGAGCCATATAGCGAGACCACCGTGTTTATGGTTAGGTTAGGAAACTTAATTTCGTTCGTTTTATTAGTAATACAGAAATTTAGTAATTAAAGGTCACTATATCAGCAGAGATTTAAGAATAAAGTACAAGAGCCATATAGCGAGACTGCACCGTGTTTATGGTTAGGTTAGGTAACTTAATTTGGTTGGTTTTATTAGTAATACAAAAAGTTAGTAATTAAAGGTCACTATATCAGCAGAGATTTAAGAATAAAGTACAAGAGCCATATAGCGAGACTGCACCGTGTTTATGGTTAGGTTAGGTAACTTAATTTGGTTGGTTTTATTAGTAATACAAAAAGTTAGTAATTAAAGGTCACTATATCAGCAGAGATTTAAGAATAAAGTACAAGAGCCATATAGCGAGACTGCACCGTGTTTATGGTTAGGTTAGGTAACTTAATTTGGTTGGTTTTATTAGTAATACAAAAAGTTAGTAATTAAAGGTCACTATATCAGCAGAGATTTAAGAATAAAGTACAAGAGCCATATAGCGAGACTGCACCGTGTTTATGGTTAGGTTAGGTAACTTAATTTGGTTGGTTTTATTAGTAATACAAAAAGTTAGTAATTAAAGGTCACTATATCAGCAGAGATTTAAGAATAAAGTACAAGAGCCATATAGCGAGACTGCACCGTGTTTATGGTTAGGTTAGGTAACTTAATTTGGTTGGTTTTATTAGTAATAAAAAAATTTATATTTGCTAATTGAAATTATTTATCAACAGAGTTTTAAGAATAAAGTACAAGAGAGCCATATAGCGAGACTCGACCGTGTTCACGTTAAGTAACTTCGTTCGTTTTATTAGTAACATAAATATTTGTAACATAGTCATTGACAAACCATTTATTTTTCCCATACCGGGGATAATTCCATTGCGAAAGTATTTCGTTTGTGTAGAACGATAACTGACGTGAATCACGTTGATTGTAGAACGGTTTAGAACAACAGTTTGTGTGTTCATCCTTATTCCGATGTGCATCGCAATTTTCTCCGTAATCTGTCGTTTCGTAAATAAACAAGACATCGTGCTGAAAATAAAGGAAACGTAATTTTTCATTGATGTTCATAGAAACATTATCTCATCGAATGTTTGCACAACGTGTATTCATATTTTCGTTTACGACGATGTCATTATTGTCACTGCGATTGGTTAAGCAGGGTCTGACCCTCGAAAATATGGAGTACTCTCACCACGTGGTTTCTCAGCAGCGAATTCTCCAAATTTCCAAATGACTGATAGGAAAATTCCGTGGAGTGACTCTTACCGTTAATCATAATCGCAATCTCATTTAGATGGTAATTATTCTATGCCAAGTGCAATTGACCTCCGTGATAAGCGTATACTGATTATTAAGAAACCGTTTTGAAGCGGTTAATAAATCATTTCTAGCTTTTGATAAGAGTTATATCATTTTAAATTTACAAAATTTCCAATCGTATCACATTCGTGCGTATTAACATAATTAGATGCCACTTATAATAACATTACGTCTCCCGACGTATGCGAGTGAATTAGCATTGTACGGTAGAATACGATATAACAAAATAGAAAATCTTCAAGAACTAACAAGTTAAATTATCAGCTCTCCCTATCGATCTTATCCGCGGTAGATAAAAATTTCCTAAACAACCTCGATTACCTGAAGATTTGAAATAATCCTGGAAAATCCGAACATAAATATTTCTATCCAAATAAAACATCGTCTACATAAGACTATCGCCTAAAGGAATAATATCTATACGTAGAAATTATCAGCACTATCAGAAAAGCAAAGTCTTACACATTAGTGAAATTCCCAACGTTTCCACAAAATGAAGCAAAACATTAGCGGTCGAAAGAATAATTATGTATACGATATATCGTGATTCACTCTAAGTCCAAGTTGACCATTCTCTCGCTACCCGCGTAACTCGAAAATGTGAATCGAGCTAAATTACCGTAAAGACCTACGCGAGCGTGTGTGCGAGTGTCACATCGTATCTTTTATCATGCAAGGCCACTGCGTCATCGGGGCACAGACACACCATTAATGTGTCTGTTGTATGTCCGCGAGAATATCAGCTGCTCGGAAGCCGAATTGATCAATTTCACTTTTAGAACATTTCATTACAGGCTCGTATCATCGATTCGACTGTTTAAAACGTATACGTTACTTCTTGTCGAACGATGACGTAACTAATTGCATATGACTACTGATTAATATTGGTAGTGTAATACAAGTTTACATAAAAGCCACAAGTTTCGTTACGGACTTTTGCAATAGTGACGTTCATATTCTCGTTAAGAGTCGCGCGTCTATTTTGCTGCAGTATTGAAATTGTAATGTGTTAGATTGCCACTCGTTTTATTGCCACTACACATTGTATCGCCATGCGTTAGATCTCCATGTGTTATATTGCCACGCGTAGAATTTCGATGTGTTGAAACACCTCGCGTTATATTGCCACGCGTAGAATTTCTACACGTTGGAACACCACGCGTTATATCACCACATATTGTACTTCTATGCGTTGTATTGCCACGCGTGGAATTTCGACGTGTTGAAACACCTCGCGTTATATTGCCGCGTGTAGAATTTCTATACGTTGGAACACCACGCGTTATATCACCACATATTGTATTTCTATGCGTTGTATTGCCACGCGTAGAATTTCGATGTGTTGAAACACCTCGCGTTATATTGCCGCGCGTAGAATTTCCACACGTTGGAACACCACGCATTATATCGCCACATATTGTACTTCTATGCGTTGTATTGCCACGCGTAAAATTTCGATGTGTTGAAACACCTCGCGTTATATTGCCGCGCGTAGAATTTCCACACGTTGGAACACCACGCGTTATATCGCCACATATTGTATTTCTATGCGTTGTATTGCCACGCGTAGAATTTCTACGTGTGGAAACACCACGCGTTATATCGCCACACGTTATATTTCTACGCGTTGCATCGCCAAGCGTTATACTGCCACGCGTAAAATTTCGACGCGCTGAATCACCTCGCGTTATATTGCCACACGTTATATCGCCACACATTACATTTCTACGCGTTGTATGGCCAAGTGTTATATTGCCACGCGTAGAATTTCTACGCATTGCATTTCTATGCATTCAAATACCTCGCGTTATATCGCCGCGCCTTTATATCACCACGTGTTATATTTGCCACGCGTTAGATGGCGGCATATTATAATTTTACCGTTATAGAAGGTAGGGTTTAGGAAAGAAAGAGACGAGTTAGTAATAATTGCATACAATTATGTAAATACAAAATTGTTTAAGATAACAGAAACTATTACTTCGGAAATATTTTAAACAGCAAATTAGTGACATGTTTAATTCATTCATACGTTTTATCTCAGCATAACGCTGCAGTTTTCGAATTTCCTTCGTACGAAATTCACAAACGCCGAGTGCCACAAGGAAAATATCGAGTGTCGCAACGTTCGCGATGAAACGTGAAATTTATTTTATCAGGTGGAAATCTCACGGAACGAGAGAATATACCGAGAAACGTTTTTACCACTTTCACGTGCAATCTGTCGTAATTAACAAGCTGATAAAGTAACGACCGCTGCAATAATTAAAACGCATTATTTGCTCGGAACAGAACGCGTTACAAATCCGGTATTGAACTGCGCACCGTACGAAACTACTCAGACATTTAAATTTGATGCGGACTGTTTTTCGTTACGCGACAAAGTGCAAACACGGCTTTCTGCTAAATTGTACCACCCTGAACTTCTTTACGATCGCTTTAATGCTTGCCGCGATTTGCGTGATTCCTTTCTTAATGCAACTTATCAATGCTGACGATGTTGGTGTCTTACGTTAGATTGAATACTATCCGTTTATTATACAAATATCGTGGAAGTGTGTCGAATCAGTGTTAACCTTTAACACGTTCACCGACATAATAAAAATGTCTTACTATTTCTTTCGTCACCGGTTTGTTAGATAGTCTGTTTCGTTTATCGATTAAGTTCACGGACGTTCTGCTGAGGTATACTTTTCATTCTGTCGTAATTATTGGCGTAATTAGCACTTTATTTCAGATGAATTAAGTTTTAAGGATAATTATCCTAGGTAATAGACTGTGACAGCAGTATTTCTATATTTCTGGATAGTTGTTTCGAAGTCCTTATGTCTCTTGATGCTGATATCTTGATATCTTTGAATTTCCGTATCTCTACATTCTTATATCCACAGATCCCAACGTCCCTAATTAAATATCCTTAGATCCCAAATTTCATTAGATCAAAATATCCTTAGATCCCAATAACCCCAGATCCAGGATGTCCCTAGATCCCAACATTGCTAGATCCAAGTATCCCTAGATTCCAATATTTCTAGATCCAAGTATCCCTAGATCCAAAATATCCCTAGATCCCAATATTTCTAGATCCAAAATATCCTTAGATCCCAACATTCCTAGATCCAAGCATCCCTAGATCCCAATATTTCTAGATCCAAAATATTCCTAGATCCAAGTATCCCTAGATCCAAGTATCCCTAAATCCAAATATTCCTAGATCCAAATATTCCTAGATCCAACTATTCCTAGATCCAAAATATTCCTAGATCTCAACATCCTTAGATGCAAACATTCCTATATCCAAATACCCCTAGATCTAAATATCCCTAAATCCCAATACCCCTAGAGTCCCATAGGTATCTATATCACCATAAATACCAATGTCCCTAATATACTATAACATACTATATCCCTAGGAACATTGTATCCCTAGTATAGTAGTGTCTTCTCTCTACACACATCTTACACTTTTTATTATACATATCTCTTATATTAATTTCAAACGTTGCGAGTCATACGGCAAATGAATATATAATTCAATTCTGTTTGTTTTTCCACCACGAGCTCATTAACCCCTCCGCACACGAAAGTAGTAAATGAGATTGATCAGATCGCGTTGGATTAAATGTTTCCACATGGCGTCTGTTGTGTAATACTTGATTAATCTCCGAAGCGTTACAATTATTCCTTGATTTGTTCCAACGTATTGTAGCCACTGACTAATTCGGTATCTCGATTATTTTGCAATACAGTTTTTATTTATAGTCGTCGATAACACACGTGTTAACGAAAATTCGAGATAACGTTATGTATTGTACTCAAAAATTGTCGATAACATGCGTGATCGATACAGCGTCTAAGCCTTCGAAATTCGAAACATATGTATTCACACTTCGAGATTTAATTGGGAAGAAAAATACTGGGTAGAGCGAAATCTTGGACAAACGACGATGATAATCGAGTTGCAGCCGCACGACGAACAAATAACTAATTATAAGATAACGAGACTACAGTCATGGAAGAGAAATTACATTTTGCAGAAAATGAATTCGTTTCATGACTCGCTGATTTTGGGCCTGCGACGAAGAACATTTTACGTATCGCGAGGATTTAATTTCTTCGGAGAATAATTTTAAACCGAACAAAAAAGACAATTATATAAATTGATGATCGCGTTGTCACTGACGCAACCATATTTATTGTTATTGTATTTTGGTTGCATCATTAAGACGTAATGTCGTCACGCAATATACGATACTATCTATCAGAAATAATACGATACGAGAGAAAAACAACGTAAATTCGAACACAACATCGATTCAAATGACTTTCACTCGATATTCGGGGTTTCCCAGTGACAGGACAGATCCGTGGAAAATCTTAATTCGTTTTCCCTGCTTATTTCCTTCCACTGTTCATTTATATTTAGAACGGCATTCGCCTCAGTCGAGCAAACACTGTTGAGCATTTGCCGCGCTCGAGTAAACAGGGATCGAGTGCGGTTCTCCAACGATAGTTCCGCATGATCCGCTAATCCGAAACTCCGATATGAGTTACAAGGGAACACGTTACAGAGCTTTGAACCTTGTAAATGAGCTTTTCCAGCGCGTAAAACCCGCAGAGCTTTCGATTACCAAGAATCACGAGGCGGAAGAAGATACGCTTTAATTGATGGATTAGCTTTTACAGAGGCATAGCAACTGTAAAGCTGCGGTGATTACGTTAAGCCTTTTACGACAAACCATCTATCAGTTTGCTTTAACTATTTCAATCGATAACATCGTTTACGTTTCTCGCGTTCAGTTATCATATTTTTCTGAAATTTTAATGTGTTAATTTATGGTAGAAGGGAAGATTAGTATGACGATTGTGAATCGAAATGAATTATTGCGCATCATAGCGTAGAATATTCAATGCGCAGATCTACTGCGCAGGGAAGTGTATTGCGCCGCATTACTGCGCATCGAGACTTGACGCGCTGAATTACAACGCGTTGAAATACTTTGCATTGAAGTACAACGCGCCGAATTGCAGCGAATCGAAGTACAACACTTCGAATTACAGCGCATCGAAGTACCACGCTTCAAATTACAGCGCATCGAAGTACCACGCTTCGAATTACAGCGCATCGAAGTACCACGCTTCGAATTACAACGCAGCAAAGTACCACGCTTGGAAGTACAGCACATCGAAGTACCACGCTTCGAATTACAGCGCAGCAAAGTACCACGCTTGGAGTTACAGCGCATCGAAGTACCACGCTTCGAATTACAGCGCATCGAAGTACCACGCTTCGAATTACAGCGCATCGAATTTCACTGCTTCGAATTACAGCGCATCGAATTTCACTGCTTCGAATCACAGCGCATCGAAGTACCACGCTTCGAATTACAACGCATCGAATTACCACGCTTCAAATTACAGCGCATCGAAGTACCACGCTTCAAATTACAGCGCATCGAAGTACAACGCGTTGAACCACAGCACATCGAAACACAACGCACCGAATTACAGCGCATCGAAACATAATACGTTGAAGTATAGCGCATCGAAACACAACGCGTCGAATCACAGCGTATCGGATTATAACGTTCCCAATTACAGCGCACCCATGTACACCCATGTGCGCCCTAGTGCAACGCATCAAATAACACCAAAATGCAAGATAAATTACAGCTCATCAAAACACAGTGCAGCGAGTTACACCGCATCATCCTATAACGCTTCGATACGTAACGCGTCGTCATTTGACGTGGACATTGAGTATAAGCGGTAGCGAATGCGTTATCGTTTAATAGGGCATTTAGCGTTGACAATCGAGCACCCGATATTGCGAGGGAGTGGGTTTAGCGTTAACTTATCTGGTAACCGACAACAAATGTATTACCGATTCTGTATAACATACGATCGAGGATAATTATTGTTTTTTTTTAATTGATCAGTTTGGTCTACAGTAGGTATGACGTATGGGCATTTGAATTTGTTCCAGACAGAAATTGACATCGCCCAAGTGGAATCGGTTCAAAGGAATCAGGCTGAGATGGAAGGACAAGATCAGACTGAACAACGTCATCTGGCGATGTTGGCACATGCAATGTAAGGATATTTACTATTTTATTCTTTAGAATTTAAGATAATTACGTTCCACGTTATTACGTGGAAAACTCTATTATTATAGAGGTGTATCTTTCGCTGATTAGCATGTTCTAAGATAAATGAAGCGTGATGTACTGATCAGTACAATCATGTACTGATCAATATAATCATGTACTGATTGACAAAAATTATGAAACTCTCTTGAATGAAATCCCTTTTACTCAAACGTACGTCATCGAAAAATTGCTCGAGCTCATTAAGTCGGATCAATGTCCATTCACAAAAATACGCATCTGCGTTTCAGTAACTCATTCATGAAATTTTAGCGAGGGTCTACGATTACGTAACACAGCGAAAGATTCTTACAACTAAGCGTGCTGTTAATGTCTAATTATGTTGTAAACGTCGGGCGAGGAAAAGCTACATCCGTAACTAAACACGTAAATGAAGGATTCATTGAATAGTTCGACACTTGTAATCGTTTGAGCGATCCAGTAACCGGAAGTATTACGCGAAACACAAGGCGCATTGACTGACCAGATTTTACTTACCATTACGTAGCGTTTCGCACGATAACCCTGGTCGATAACGTCGCGCCTACATTTTAGTTTTTTATTCCTCGTCGCTACTTTTTATTTACTACGGATGAGCTGTCACAGTCAACAGATACAGATCGCGGGTCACGGCGTTGATTAACAAACGTCGCGTCGCCGAAAGAGGAAGGCACTGTGGCCAATCTTCTTCTTTATTGTTATTTTAAAATTAAACATGGATATTGCAATCGTTTGAACTCGATCTTGGGTCACGTTGATCCAAATTATTTTTGTATATCGGCTACGACCGAACGAGCCTTATCGAGCCTTCACTTTAAATATATCTTCTTTTTTTTATTGTTTTCAGACTTTTAATTTTGAGTTGGTTTCATTACGTTTCTTATTTTGATCTTACTTTATTGTAATTTTTGTTTTTAGTTGCCTGAGGCATACTTTTAATTTTTAGTTACTTTAGTTGTGTTTTTGATTTTGAAGTATATTCTTCATTTTGAACTGAATTTATTACATTTATAATTTTGTACTTTATTCATGTCTTTGATTTTGAAGTATGTTCTCCATTTTGGACTTACTTTATTATATTTTTAATTTTGTACTGGCTTATTTATGCCTTTGATTTTGAATTAATTTAATTATGTCCATTGTGAACTGACTTAATTATGTTTTTAATTATGAGTTAATTTAATTATGTTCATTTTGAACTGACTTAATTATGTTTTTAATTATGAATTAATTTAATTATGTTCATTTTGAACTGACTTAATTATGTTGTTAATTATGAATTAATTTAATTATGTCCATTGTGAACTGACTTAATTATGTTGTTAATTATGAATTAATTTAATTATGTCCATTGTGAACTGACTTAATTATGTTGTTAATTATGAATTAATTTAATTATGTCCATTGTGAACTGACTTAATTATGTTGTTAATTATGAATTAATTTAATTATGTCCTATGAATTAATTTAATTATGTTAATTATGTCCATTGTGAACTGACTTAATTATGGTTTTAATTATGAATTAATTTAATTATGTCCATTGTGAACTGACTTAATTATGGTTTTAATTATGAATTAATTTAATTATGTCCATTGTGAACTGACTTAATTATGGTTTTAATTATGAATTAATTTAATTATGTCCATTGTGAACTGACTTAATTATGGTTTTAATTATGAATTAATTTAATTATGTCCATTGTGAACTGACTTAATTATGGTTTTAATTATGAATTAATTTAATTATGTCCATTGTGAACTGACTTAATTATGGTTTTAATTATGAATTAATTTAATTATGTTCATTTTGAACTGACTTAATTATGTTTTCACTTTTGAATTGATTTAATTATATTTTTAATATCAATGCAATTTAATGATATTTTCAATATAAAATACATCTAATCACACATTTATCTATGATTGATCTAATCATATTTTTTATTATAAGTGCATCTAATTTCATCTTTAATTCATAATAAAAATATTTCATTTTATTTCCGACCATTAATATATTCATCAAACTAAATTTGATTTATCTGAACATTAAAAAAATAATAAATAAAATTGAACAGTCTAAAAGAAAAGAATGTGTGACAAGAATAAACACAGAAGAATGACAAAAGATGTGGATGAGAAAGGGTGTAATCGAAATGTTTGGAAACCTCAGCCGTTTTCCATCGAGTTACAATCGAAAAACAAATTTGGCGAGATAAAGCGTAATCTAAAGCCAAATTAAATTGATTCAAGATATCCAGCCGCGAAAATAAAGCGATACGCGGTAGATAGTCGACTCGCTATTCTACAAGATAAAGAAATATCTTGCACGTGACACAGCAGTGACAAAGAATCCCCGCCATCGATGCTGTCACCTCGTTTCTATAAGTTTTCCAGTCAAACTGACTCAGTTTCGCGACCACTGCCGTTCTACGTCCATCAAATAAAATTATTTCCGCGGTTTAGAATTAGGACCGATTAATAATTAATAATAATCGATTAATTTGTTTCTTCGACTTTGCTCCTCTGTTCTACTTCCACGACGGTACCGGAGTTTAAGTTGTGTGTTCAATACGGAAGCGAGGTAAATTTTGGAAATTTGGATTTTGGATTCAGAGTGTCAAATTGCATCGTTTACTTTTTTTTATTGTTCTTTGAAAGTTTAGAAAGATTTAAACGATAGTTAAAAATATGTATTTATTTGAAGTGTCACACGTGTGGACTAAGTGAAAGGGTTAAGGGGAATTGAAGTCAATGTCTTTGAGGTTCCTTCGGTCAACTACTTATTTCTGCGCTTGGATATTTGTACTATTAATAAGTAGACTATTATTAGTAGCGGATGGGTTCTTTATTAAACTTTTTATGGGCTGTTTAGTATGGGTTACGTGGACTTGATGCGGTTGTCGATGTTTCAAATATTGTAACAGGGTTTCCAAGTTCATAAGGTTGGAGTTCTTCAATTTTTTTAATTTGTCAATTTTAAGGTCTTAATTTGCAAGGTTCCAAATTCCCACAATTCCCAAGTTCCAAGATTCCAAATTTCCACAATCCCCAAATTCCAAGGTTTCAAATTCCCAAAATTCCAAATTCCAAGGTTCCGAATTCTCACAATTCCCAAGTTCCAAGGTTCCAAATTCCCACAATTCCCAAGTTCCAAGGTTTCAAATTTCTACAACCCCCAAATCCCAAGGTTCCAATTCCCAAACCCCCAAATTTCAAGGTTCCAAATTTCTACAGCCCCCAAATCCCAAGGTTCCAATTCCCAAATCCCCAAATCCCAAGGTTCCAAATTTCTACAGCTCCCAAATTCCAAGGTTCCAATTCCCAAATCCCCAAATCCCAAGGTTCCAATTCCCAAACCCCCAAATCCCAAGGTTCCAAATTTCTACAGCCCCCAAATCCCAAGGTTCCAATTCCCAAACCCCCAAATCCCAAGGTTCCAATTCCCAAACCCCCAAATCCCAAGGTTCCAATTCCCAAACCCCCAAATCCCAAGGTTCCAATTCCCAAACCCCCAAATCCCAAGGTTCCAATCAATTTCCAAAATTCCAAATTTCATCAACCCCAAACTCCAAGGTTCCAAATTTCCAAAATCCCCAAGTTCTACCGCCCAAAATTTCCAAAACTCCCCACTCTCCTGCCTCAATTCCCAAGATCTCCCAAAAGTGCTAATCTTCCAAAGTCCCAGCATCCCCAAAGGTCCAGTCCACAACCAAAACATCTCCCACTTCCAACATAATCATTCAACAAAATTAATGCAATGCTAATAAACGTAACGACACTCGTAATTAACGAAAATATCACAAGATACAATATAAATGACACATAATCCAATATAAATGACACTTGATCTCGATTTTCTGCAAAGAAAGGGAAGTATCGCAGCGAGGGCGTCGAAGAGAGCAGAGGAGCATCGGTAAACAAGAGAAAGGCCTGAAACCGAGCGAGTTCGAGAATCGAACGTTCAGGAAGAATTCGTTTCGCAGTTCGTGGCGGGACTTTGTATCCACCGTCACTGATACGAGAAAGTATTTCGCGACTGCGATACAAAATGCGTCGCCGCAAAATCGGCATCGGGACGTCCGCGTCTCTGTTCCGTTGCGCTAAATGTATCGTTCATCGTCACTCGAAAGGCAGCTAACTAGTCGAGAAAGAGGACTTAGAATATTTGCGGTTATTCTAGTTCATCTTTAAGTACATGGTAATTTCTTTTGAAATTCTTGAAAAATCGGAGATCTTTGATAAGGTCTTAACGTGCAAGATCTTTCGTTAAAATTTTAGTTCACCTTCAAGTACATGGTAATTTCTCTTGAAAATCTTGAAAAATCTCGGTCTTTGATAAGGTCTTAACGTGCAAGATCTTTCAATAAAAATCTGTATACTTGATGACAAAACTGGAAGAGTTCCTTGTCACTTTGTTTATCATTTTGAGTTTGCAGAACAATTTTGCAATAAAGTTTTCAGCTGTACAACTCTTCTCGAAGCTTGTACACGAGTTATCTGCAATGTTTGAACTCGTTTTGATAACTTTGTTCATTTTTCGAAGGTCAGAATGAATAAATTTGAATAGCGTACATGTAAAGATTTAGTAATATATTTTCACGACCAAACCGTGGAATAATTAAAGTATGGCGATCGGTGCCGCACCCTGCATACCGATCCAAATCTGCATAAATGAAATCACCGAACGTGTTTCATGTTTGTGAATTTCCTGGTTACTCGAAGAAGGTCAACCTCTCTGTTAGCTAAAAAACACGTTGCATCTACTTTTAGAACTGCATATCCGTTGTGGTTCCTTCGAATCGCGCTACCAAAGTCTGATCGAATCGAACCAGTTCAAGATATCTTTCGCTATAAAATAATATTGTGGATAATATAGCAATATTTGGAAAAGATAGAGTTCGATAAAGTTTTCGATTCGTTTGCAGTTATACTGAAGCAGAACACGCTGGTGTGCCAGTTCGCGTCTCCGTTGGATGTTGATACTCATAATAAACCCGAGGTACGTATTGCGATCGCTTATCAATAACGTCCCGGTTTTCATTAAACTGATAACCAGTCGATAATTTATTAATAAATTATTTAAAAGCTAAGGCGTTATCGTTTATCGTTAATCGAACGTTCCATTGTAAGAAACCGTATTCATGCGTAAATCAACTTTCTTATCAGGCGGTCGTCTTAGAAGGCAAATACTGGAAGCGAAAACTTGCTGCGGTTACTGCGGAATACAAGAAATGGCGTATGTTCTACCGAAACAAGATCCTTGGCTGGACGAACAAGGATGGCACCGAGATGGTATTTATATATTCATCTAACTATACTGCACTCTCGTTATATTGCCGTCATATGGACTCTTATGCACAGAGTTATTCCCTGCCAACAGCGTAAGACAGGATCCATGGAGAACGTTGCAGTATATGTTACATCGCCACTAGTTATATTGCCATCAGATTCATACTCCATTCTTATCTTGTTGTATTTCACGCGTGTTATTTTAGCATGTAAAAATCTCACACGTACTGCGATTCATTGTATGTTCAACGCGTTGTATTCCCATGTATTGTATTTTTGCGCGTTGTATTTCAGTGAGCTATATTCCCACACGCTATACTTCGTATGTTGACGCGTAAATTTCTCACATATTTTATTCTCGACATGTGCCATATTGTATTGTGATGCACTGTATCTTCACGTGGTTGTATATCGTCACGTGGCGTTCTCACGCGTTGTGTTATGATGCAGCGTCTCACGTGTTGTATCGTGATGCAGTCTCACGCGTTGTATTTCAACACACTTCCCATTCGATATATCGACACGTATTCTTACCTGATATATCGCAACGTATCTCTGGATCCATGGACTTAATCACTGCAATAATTCAAGAATTGTCCACTGTTGTACTCGTGGCAATATAACGAGTCTAAGATAAATATTCTATTGAAAAGACACGAAATTGCAGCCCAATGAAACGTACACGCATTATGAAATACCTAAGGTCTAATGAAAGATACAATCGTTTCAGATGGAATCGATGGATGTGTTAGATTGGGACAATGGATTGGGAACCTCGGGCAATTATGGAGCAGGTACAGGCAACATACACGGAGGGACCAGTGGGACTCCAGGAGGAGAGAGTATGATGGTTGATGAGGATTACATGGAGCTTATGACTGATACGTTATTTTCAACAATCAGTTCGAATCAACCAATATACTTTCCCGATCCCAGAGAAATTGGTAACTCGTTAATTCAAGTAGCTGTGTACGCAGACGAACGACATAACGATAACACCATCGTTACGTGTACAGAGAAAGAAATGTTTCGATTATTTGAATGTTGTCGAAGAGCATAAAATACGAAGTATCGTATGTCAATGAATTTTATTTGTTTGTAGCGCGAGGAGCTAGTCTGGCGGATTTTATACAACCCAGCCTTGGACCGCTCCAGCCAAATTTAGATGATTTTATGGACACTCTTGAGCCACTACAAGGTAAATGGTCAAGGTTTATATCCACGATTCTTCATTAGTGAAACGATTGCGAAATGTAAATATCGATCGTGTTTCAGAATTTTTTAATTCGAAATTACCCCCCGTCCCCGAGGAGGACGATATGTTTCGAAATAGTACCTTGAACGCGAACTATCCTGATCTCGACCTGATGACGCCTATGAATCAAATTAACGAGCTAAGCCAAGAGTCGGCAGTGAAGAATGAACAAGCTTCACAGCAGCAAGCGTTAACTCAGAACGAGCAGGCAGGTACTATACAAAATCTTCAATACACCGCCAAGATATATACTCAACCTCAACCGGAGCCAACGAATGCGTTCAGGAATAACATGTGAGTTTTAGTTCTTGAGTGATTTGTCATTCGACGAATGTCATGCTTCAACCACTACGTGTACGTTTTAGAACTCTTGGCGAGAATTATAACGCTATACAACAAAGTTATGAACCACCTCCAACGAGTCAACCTGTCAGGGAAAAGAGTCGACCTAGTAGGGTCTCTTCGAGAACTAGTCGAGTGATTCAGCAGGCTCAGCAACAGCAGCAACAACAACCGCCGCAGAACGCGTATCAGAGAACAACGCAGCAACAGAATTCTGCTTACCAGCAGGGTTCTCAGCAGTCCTATGCTATGGAGATACAAACCGTTCAGTTGACACCTGTTCAGAATCAAATGCAATTGGCAGCGTTAAACGATCAATCCGTGCACGCCAATCAAATTTCACCCATCACCGGTCACGTTCAGAATCTGGTAACTGTGCAACAAAATTTTGGACAGACGAACTCCACGGTGACCACGCAACACAGAGCCATCAGACCTTTGCCACCAGTCGCGCCTGTGTCCACCAAGCCTTACAAAGTCGTTCAACCGCAACAGTGTTACAAGTTCTCCGCTCTCCCGCAAAGCTTTAATGCGCATCAATGTAAATTCAATGCGAATAATTTCAAGGTACATAGCACGACGAAGCAGTTACTTCGCACTGCTTCGTTTGAATAATTTATCAATACTGGAAACTGTGCGATTAACTGCAGAATAGGATTATCGCGTTACTTTTTTTTTTTCAGACACACCCACCACAAGTCGTATCGGTTTCCGCGGAGCAACCGTCTCAATCGCCGATACTGTTACAGTGCAGACCCTCCGGTTTGGATCTCAGCACACCAACAACCGTACAACACGGCAAATTGTTACCTCAACCTGGTGCATTGAATTCGGAGAAGGAGGAAGTTTTCGCTGTACCCAAGGTTCATATTTGTAAATTAGGATACTTATCACATGTTGTCAGAGATATTTTTACGAATGATGTAGTTTCTTTTTCTTAGCGTAACGGCATTGTATGTTTTGTCTTTCAGTACCAGATGAAAACGAGGAATAGATCTCGAAGTAGTTCGTCGTTAACTGCTCCACGAATGCATCCACCGCCATTAGTATCAGCGGCGAGCGATCCCGCGCTAAATCTAAATAACAATGTTTTGCTCGCACAGTTACTCACCAATAGTATGTATTACAAGAAACGTAATATTTGTACGGTTATGTAACTTTTTACTAGTTTCGTTGAGTTGCATTGACAACTGACGCATGATTATTGAGAAATCAAAATCCTGGTATTATTTTCCCGACAAAGAATATTATGACAGCTTCAAATATCGTTACATAGACACATCTGGTGTACATACAATGAATATGCCGGCTGATAATATAATGCCGACAGTGGACCAAACAGCCGCTACAATGAAACACATCTTACCAATGCTTCCACCTTCAGCTTCGCCCACGCAGGTGACGACAGCCCAGCATATTACCACACCGGTCACTGTTCAAACGATGCAAACCTCACCAATGCAAGTGCAACCACCGCAGCAGCAGGTACAAAGTTTCGAACGATCACATATCGTGAGTTACTGTAGCTTTTTAAAAATAATACTTGCAAATGCAGGTGTTATCTTTTCTATTATATAACACTGACTGCAAACATGCGTCCTATGTAATGATATAATACGTTGTATGTTGTGCTATTAGGCTATGCAACAGTCCACTTGCAATCAGCAAATGTTATTGAATACAAATACCCAGCAACAGAATAGTCCTGGATCGCCGAAGGATAGTTCTAACGCGCACAGTCCTCAGGCGTTGAGTCTCAGCCCTTTGCACAGTCCGATGAGTATAGGAAGTCCGATGTCGCCTAGTCGGGGTTACATAAAGGGTGAAACAGATCGAGCACAGTACAAAGAGCAAAGAAGAGTGGGACATACTCATGCGGAACAAAAGCGTAGATATAATATTAAGAACGGATTCGACATGTTACACAGTTTGATACCGCAGCTCAGTCAGAATCCGAATACTAAGCTGAGCAAAGCCGCCATGCTGCAAAAGGGGGCTGATTATATCAGGCAACTTAGGGCGGAAAGAAATCAATTGAAAGAAGAGATGGATAGTTTGAGGAATCAAATCGAGTGCCTTAATACGTCGATTAGGTAATAGTAGTTAAGTTTGAATGAAAAAAAAGAACAGAATCGACTTTAACCTGTTAACCAGCATAAGATTCATCTTCGCTGGTTAACAGGTTAAGGAAAGCTATGTCCAGTTACAGTTGAATGCTCTGTTGCAGTAATTGCCAATCCATGCTTCCTGCAACGGGTGCTCCAATTTCTAGACACAGGACTAGCAAGATGAAGGAAATGTTCGATGAGTATGTACGAACGCGCACACGGGAAAATTGGAAATTTTGGATTGTATCCTTTTTAAAGTTCTGTCGAAAACTTTACCTTTATAATTATAGATAGTAATATACATCTCCTTATTAAATAATTAGTTCAGTATATTACTTGAGCCTTTGATGATTTCCTTCAATACGTCGGTATCAACGGCGAGTATAGAAGATTTATACAGAAGTACAATATTGTGGGTCGAGCAGCATTGCTCGCTTGTCGATCTCAGACCAGGTTTGCAATTGAAAAGAAACAACCTAATAAATACTGTCCAAAATCTGAACCTTAACACGTTGACTGCTATGAAGGTTATCAGTGTCCGGCATAATGTTTATGAATGCCAAAATTGCGTAACTTATAATGGACATCATTTTTCTAAACTTTATTATTTTAATTAAACTATAGGTGGATAGTTTATAATCAAAGCATTCTTAATTGGTTTTCAGTCAATAACTGCTGGCATCAAGAATCCTATTAATAGTCTTCCAGTCGCTAAGGTATTAATATCCTTTATAATCCACATTACTATGATAGCCAACGTGTTAAGTATTTGTCTTTTTATCTTTCTTCAAAAACTACATTACGTTATAGTAGTATGCTTCTCTTCATTTTTTCAGTGGACAGTAACTATAATACTTAGTTGAATATAGGTGTTTGTAATGTTATCATTCTTATCGTTTTCAGCTGTTCTGAACTCCCTCAGATATCTGTGTACTGCCACTGATATTCTATCAGATCCTGGTCGTCTACCTGAAGAAGCACTCGCAGCAGTCAACCATACAGAACGGCGACGATCAACTCAATGACCAATTTATATTTATGGAAATTCGCCGGCGAAACGTAAATTGCGTGTACGTTGGAAATTTAGCGGCGAGCGAAATAAAAACAGTTACCGTAGCCATAAGCCAGTTCTAGAAGAGACACGTGAAAATTCTGATGACAGTTTTTCTCTTTTCTTTCTTTTATTTTTGTTCATAGCGGATTTTCTTCAGGTTTCTTTTTACGCAACGATCGTGGATAAAAGTCGAAGTGCAATTTTTCCCTGTCTCGTTTTCAAAATTGTGATCAAAGGATGTTTGGGGATAATTAATTGTAGAAAGAGCACGTGAAAATGTACATGAATTTAATTGCAGATAATTAACAAAATATATATAGACTGTTACAAATTTGGAACATATTGAGATTTGAACATGTTTTCTTTTTTTATATATATTGTTATCGCAATTATGTTTGTATCGGATATTAGCAAAGTAAAGTACATTTATATTTATTAGGTAATTATGTCGCATCATGTAATCACTTTCATCTAGCGCCAAAAAAAAATTATATTTTGTGTTCCTTATCTTTTCGGATTGCGATAACATTGTCGCAGCAATTTTATGTTGTTGACTCATTTAACTCATTATAATACTTGCCTATATATTTTGGTAACGTTTAAGAAACAACTATAAAAAGTATATAGAGCAAACCATTCCACTATATTTTTACTATGCTCGTCTTCGACTAGGTACGATCATATTGACAGTAACAAAAAAACATTTGTGTTTTACTGTAAATTTCTTTAAAGTACATGTTGCTCTATAAGAAAGTCAATGTTTTTTAAAATTGTTCTTATTTTCTTTTCTTTCTTTTTTTTTTTCTTTTTTGTAGATAACATTTCCCCCTATCTTTAAGATAAAAACTTCTGTAAAAATATATTATGGACATATACGTTATGTTGTCGATATATTTTGATAACAGTTAAAATATACGTAATTCTTTTTTAATCACTTAGCTTTGGAACCTTTTTAGGAAAATGGATAAATAAAGAACTGTTAATGAAAAAGTATGTGAACCTTTTTACACCGCACGAGAATAGAAGTACCTGGGTAAAACCGGTGGTATAAAATTATATCGAGAGACTGAAGTCAGAAATCTAAAATATTTTATCTATGAAATTATGCCTTTATAAGTGCAATTGAATTTTAAAATCAAAGATTATACATTTTTATCAAGTCCGACCATGTACACTATAACGAATACATAGTTGTTAATACTTGCATAGTAATACCTGTTTGAAAAATAAAGAATTTATATTGCAGATAATTGAACTATGTACGAGATGAAAAATGGGTTGCTCACAAATTATAAGTATATATTATATACTAATGATGTTATAAAATGTGAAGTTTTTAATGCGAAATTTCATGTGATAATGTACAAATCATTTATAAAATTTAAATATTAGCTTAAGTTATGGAAGACATCTGTATATTGTAATGTTGTTATTGTCATTAAACATTAATTATATCTCAAAGGATGTTTTAAATGATAAACTCTTTCAGTGATTATTGAGCATAAAATCAACATAATTTGTTTCATCTTTGCAATATACAGATGTCTTTTACTCGAAATTTACATTGTGTACGCGTAAGCGATGAAGAATATAAAAAATCAATAATGGGATGTTTTTTTTTTGTACAATATGTATCATATAATCACATAAACATTCATGTATTGTTATTCAAATGTTTACTTCCATAAAGAAAACTGAAATTCGATTATTCTTCACTCACTTTCCTGTATTGTTTGAAATTAATTTATTTTTATATTTAATTTAAAAGAAGGAAATATGATCATATTTACAAAGTCTTATATTACTTCAATGGATATCAATATGATGTCCATGATGAATTTTACTTTAACATAGATTTAAATGTCTAGTCAATTAAAAAATTAGTAATAACTTAATTTGATTAATTGTACAAAAACAAATAAAGTAGATTATTTTTAACTCTCTGAGTCAATATACTAATTGAGAAACATCAAAATTTATATTACTGACATCCAAGTTGAACATTTGTCACAAACTAAATACAAAGACATATTATTTTCAGGAAGTGCTAGGAAACCAGGTGGTTCTCTACATATAGTAGAATGAGTATTTGCACATTTATTGATAAGATACCCCAGATCTTTTATACTTATACTACCATTTACTTTAAAATCACAAGATGTGCAAGTTACCTGCCTTGCATTTTCAGCTAAATTTGATGTTTGACATATAGGACAAATTACTTCTTCATTCTCTTGATCTGCACTTAATGCTAATAATTCAATTTCTTCTTGTGACATTTTTTCATACTCTTGTAATATCCATTGTTCTGTAAATACAACATAAAATTTTATTCTTAAGCTTTTGAAACAGAAAATTATTCTTTAGACCCCTTGCTGTATTAAATGTACCTTCTTCATTAAGTATTTCATTTTCTAGTTCCATTGCTTCTTCTGGATTAAGTGGTTCACTTATTATAGGAGAAAATGGATTCAGAGCTGGATCTAAATCTGTAGTAGCAAGATCAGTCAATTCTTTACGCACAATTTGCGATAAAGTATCCTGAATTTCTTCTGAATTAATTTCCAAACCAAATCTACTTTTATTGAATAACTGTCTTCGTTTTTCGCGCATTCTTTGTCGACACCTCTGAAATAAAATTTAACTACATAAATAACAAAGTACGACGTAATCAAAAATATGCAACAATGAATTGTAATTATATCATTGTTGTTAAATTTGAAAAGTTTTGAAAACTCGAAAACGGTAGTTCTCTAACCTCTCTGAAAACTTCTTGAAATTTTGGAGAACCATTTTTCATTTTGTTAACTGCATCTTTATTTCTTAACTTTGCAGCTACCGTAGGACTTAAAGTTATATTTTCCATGTCTTCTGTACACTTCAACATTTGTATAATTTTAGAAAAATAAAAAGATGTACACTGAAGCAAAATTTTTCGCGCTATATTGTCGTGACGCAGAGTATACCAGAGGCGGTCTCTGTCGGCACCTTTGGTCTTTCGAAAACGCTCTCTTTTTAAATAGGTCAGGTTAGGTTAGGTAAACGAGAGGGAAATTCAAAATGATACACGTAGCGCCCTCCAGTGGCAGCGTGAAAAACTAATGAAACTGCAGTTTCAAAACCGTGTAGTTCACCCTGTTCGCCGGAGAGATGGCGGTGTGCTCCATTTTTGTTGATGACGTCACTTTTTAAAAAACCGCGCGTAAATGTGAATTTTTAACGATATATAAGAATAAAACTTTTTAAAAAACATAAAATTATTATGTGTTCGAAACAGTTCGAAAAATCATTTAACAATCATTTTGCAACATATCTGCAAGAGTAAGTTAAAAAAAATAATTAATTTAAATAATTACAACAATAAATTTGTTAATAAACTATCAAAAAATATAAAATTATAAAAAATTTGATGTTAGAATAATTATACAGCAACCAATGAGAGTGGCTGCACGCTATTGGTGGATTACATGATGTCTGATTGGCTACTGTACATTACCAATCACTCTTGCACTTCGATTGGATCTATTGGTCGATTACGTGATGTCTAATTGGCTACTGTAAACTACCAATCGCACTTACACTTGAAGAGGTCGCCGGTGCTCAGTTTTGTTTTGGAAGTCAAGGAGGTCGGATCGGCCCTGTCAACACTTACCGGTACGAGTCAAGGATTTACTTTACCGATATTGTGCTTGTCCCTGTATTACCTACTGTGCTTTAATAAGTGTTTAGTGTGTTTTAATAAATATTTTTTAATAAATACGCGGGTGTATTAATAAATTTTATGGTGTGATTTAACAAGTGTCAGTGACTTTACCGGTGTGTTTCCTGCATGCATATATGGATATATAAATGTACCTAGTGTACTAATACAAGTGTTTAGTGTGCTTTAATAAATATTTTTTATTAATTATGGGGGTGTATTAACAAATTTTATGGTGTTGTTTTACAAGTGTCAGTGACTTTACTAGTGTGTTTTCTTAACTGATTGTGCACGTGTATACGGATATATCAGTGTGTTTTATGGTGCGGTTATTTAAATGTTTTATTAATTTTTTACTGTTTTAATATATTTTGTGGAGTGATTATTTAAGTGTTTTTACAAAT